CTCCCCTCTCCACTCGCTGTCCACGGTTGTGAAGAAAGGAGGACAGCCAATTTAAAGCTGTCCCCCTGACTCCAACAGCAGCAAGGCGGTGGGTCAAAAGATTGTGGTCGACTGTGTCAAATTCTGCTGTGAAATCCAATAACACAAGCAGCGCTGACCCGCCCTGGTCAAGCTGGCATCAAAGGTGATCCGTGATGGAGACTAACACAGTCTTTGTCCCATGCCCCACATGGAAGCAGGACTGGAAGGGATCTAGTCTGGCAGTGTCGTCTAGGAACTGCTGCAACTCATAGAATCATAGAATCAAAGAGTTGGAAGAGACCTCATGGGACATCCAGTCCAACCCCCTGCCAAGAAGCAGGAATATTGCATTCAAATCACCCCTGACAGATGGCCATCCAGCCTCTGTTTAAAAGCTTCCAAAGAAGGAGCCTCCACACTCCAGGGCAGAGAGTTCCACTGCTGAACGGCTCTCACAGTCAGGAAGTTCTTCCTCATGTTCAGATGGAATCTCCTTTCTTGTAGTTTGAAGCCATTGTTCCAGAAAAACAAGCTTGCTCCCTCCTCCCTGTGGCTTCCTCTCACATATTTATACATGGCAATCTTGTCTCCTCTCAGCCTTCTCTTCTTCAGGCTAAACATGCCCAGCTCCTTAAGCCGCTCCTCATAGGGCTTGTTCTCCAGACCCTTGATCATTTTAGTCACCCTCCTCTGGACACATTCCAGCTTGTCAATATCTCTCTTGAATTGTGGTGCCCAGAATTGGACACAATATTCCAGGTGTGGTCTAACCAAAGCTCTGCTGCTGTCCTCTCAATCACCTTGCCCAGGACCAAGAGATTCGAAACTGGGCGGTAACTGGAGGGAGGTGTGAAAAATGACATGATAGCTATCTTGAAATATTTGAAGGGATCATAGTATCATAAGAGACCACAAGACCCATAATTTAGGAATACACAATGCCACCTAGAAGATGGAGACAGCTTGTCTTCTCATTCTCCAGAGACTACGTATAGACAAGTAAATGCAAATCATATGAGAAGAGATTCCACCTAAACACTAGGAAGAACGTCTCGACTGTTAGATCTGTTCAAGAATTGAATGGATGGACCCATAGGATGATGGGCTTTCCATCTTTGGAGGACTTTAAACAGAGATTGGGTGAGCTTCTTTCAGAAGTCTTTTATTCTTTGACTAGCTGTACCCGCCACGCATTGCTGTGGCCAACCTTTCCTCCCTCTTTCTCTCCTTCTTTATTTCTCTCCTTCCTTCCCTTATCTCTCTTCTTTCTTCCATCTCTACCTGTTTCTTTCCTCCCTTTCTTTGCTCTTCCTTCCTTCCCTATCTTTTGTTCCTTCTCTCCTTCCTTCCCTCTCTTTTTCCTTTCACTTTTTAAATTTCCTTCTCTTCTTCCTTGCTTCTCTTTCTTTCTTTCTTTCTTTCTTTCTTTCTTCTTTCCCTCCCTGCTTCTCTCCTTCCTTCCTTCCCTCTTTCCCTCCTTCTCTCGTTACTTCTTGACTGTCCCTTCCATTTAATATTGTATTTATATCTTACATAGAAAGAAGGAAAGGAAGAAGGAAGGAAGGAAGGAGGGACATGAAGGAAGGAAAAAGGAAGGGAGGAAGGGAGGGAAAGAAGGGAAAAGAAAGAAGGAGGGACAGGGAGGGAGGAGAAGGAAGGAAGGAGGAAGGAAGGAGGGAAAGAAAGGAGGGGGATGAAGAAAGGAGGGAAGGAAGGAAATGAAGGGGAAGGAAATGAAGAAAGGGAAAGAAGAAGGAGAGGGAGGGAGGGAGGAAAAGAAGGAAAGGAAGAAGGAAGGAGGGACAGGAAAGAAGGGAAGGAGGGAGGGAGAGAGGGAAAGAAGGGGAGAGAAGAGGAGAAGGAAAAAGAAGAGGAGGAGGAAGGAAATGAAGAGGTGGAGGAAAGAAGAGGAGAAGGAAAAAGAAGAGGAGGAAGGAAATGAAGGTGTGGAGAGAAGAAGGGAAAAGAAGAAGGAAAAGGGGAGGAGGAGAGGAGGAAAAAGAAAGGAAAGGAGAGAAGGAAAGGAGAGGAGGGAAGGAAGGAAGGAAAAAGGAAGGAGGAGGGAAGGAAGGAGGAAAAGAAAGAAGGAGGGAAGGGAGGGAGGAGAAGGAAGGAAGGAGGAAGGAAGGAGGAAAGAAAGGAGGGGGAAGAAGAAAGGAGGGAGGGAAGGAAATGAAGGGGAAGGAAATGAAGAAAGGGAAAGAAGGAAAGGGAGGGAGGGAGGAAAAGAAGGAAAGAAGAAGGAAGGAGGGACAGGAAGGAAGGGAAGGAGGGAAAGAAGGAAAGGAAGAAGGAAAGAAGAAAAGGAAAGAAAGGAAGGAAGGAAAGGGATAAAAGAAGGGAAGGGAGGGAGAGAAGGAAGGTCTTTCATACTAGCACCGTGGACCTTCCTCGCCTCCTCCTCCTCCCCTTCTTCCTTGCTCCGTTGCTGCTGCTGGCACTCATCCGCCCTTTCCTCTTCCAACAGGGTAAGGAGGAGGAGACTGCCTCCACCTCCTCCACTCCACTCACTTGTGTGTGTGTGTGGCTGTGCACATGCGCCTGGCTTTAACAGCCAGCTGTTTCCCCGCAAGGAGGAGGAGGAGGGGGCGTGGCCGTGGATCTCGGTAGACAGGCAGTTTCTTCTTTGTGGACATGCAGTTTAGAAGTCCTTTCTGCTTTTTGTTTTCATTGTTTTTTTGAGTGGAGAACATACATTGGGTTGTTAGGGACATAGTGTCCAAATTTGGTGTCAATTGCCCCAGTGGTTTCTGAGTTCTGTGAATAGCACAAACGAACATTACATTTTTATTTATATAGATTGCCCTTGTGGTCCCTTCTGAGCTTGTGATCCCCATCTGCTTCATCCTCAATTGCAGGTATTTCCAACCCACTTGCTGAACCTTCCCTTTCCACCTCGTATCATATCAGTGATTTGTTTCTACAGTTGCCACCCGGCAGGGGATTTCTCTTACCCATCTGTTTGCTGTCAACAGCAGAGTTATTTAATTGGCACTTTTAATAATTGCTATTTTCCCTTCTCTTTGCTTTCTTTTGCAAAATTGGCTTGCAAAGGTTGGGGAGGGGAGGCTATTTATCATCCTTTTGGAAGGAGGGAGGCTTTCTTGACAGCTGGAAAGGAGATGATTTAAATCCAAACAGCCCTGTTCTCTTTCAGAGCCAAAAAAGAAAGTTTCACTTGATGGGTTTTGGAAGAGATTGATGTGGAGTATTTCTTGGGTGGTGGTAGAAATACATTATTGCTTCCCTTTTTTTCTACTTCTGAATGGATCCAGCATTAATACATTGTGATATGTCAGTTACAATCATTTTTCTGGCTCATATGAGTGTATTCTTGTGTGGATATGCCTTCAAGTCACCTGTCAACTTCTGGTGACACCATGAACTTCATGGAGTTTCCATAGGCAAGGAACACTCTGAGGTGGCTTTGCCAGTTCCTTCCTCTGAAATACTTAGGCGATCCCTCGTTTTCCGAGGAGGATTGTGTTACAATATTCTTTTGGGTCCGTATGTCGCTGTGGAGCCCTATTCTTGCTCTGCATCTTCTTCCGCAGTGAGGGCATTGGTTTCCAGGTGGAAGGCGGTCCCGGTCGGGGTTGGCTTGACCTGTCTTCCTCTTAGCACGTTTCTCTCTTTCACCCTCCATGTGCCTGTTCAAATTCTGCAGCACTGCTGGTCACAGCTGACCTCCAGTTAGAGTGCTCAATGGCCAAGGCTTCCCAGTTCTTGGTGTCTATGCCAGTTGGTTTTGAGCCCATCTTTAAATCTCTTTTCCTGTCCTCCAACATTCTGTTTTCCGTTCTTGAGTTCGGAGTAGAGCAACTGCTTTGGGAGATGGTGGTCGGGCATCCGGACAACGTGGCTGGTCCAGCGGAGTTGATGGCGGAGGACCATCGCTTCAATGCTGGTGGTCTTTGCTTCTTCCAGCACGCTGACATTTGTCGCCTGTCTTCCCAAGAGATTTGCAGCATTTTCCGGAGGCAGCGCTGATGGAATCGTTCCAGGAGTTGCATGTGACATCTGTAGACAGTCCACGTCTCACAGGCATATAGCAGGGTTGGGAGGACAATAGCTTTATAAACAAGCACCTTGGTATCCCTACGGATGTCCCGGTCCTCAAACACTCTCTGCTTCATTCAAGAAAATGCTGCACTCGCAGAGCTCAGGCGGTGTTGTATTTCGGTGTCTACTTTCATTGCTACTTCATAATTGAAATTTTGCTACTGTTATGAATCATAATGTAAATATCTGATATGCAGGATGCATTTTCAATCAGTGGCCCAAACTGGGCACAAATACCTGATACGCCCAAATTTGAATACTGGTGGGATTGGGGGTGGGGTGGGGGAGTGATTTTGTCATTTGGGAGCTGTAGTTTCTGGGATTTATAGTTCACCTACAATCAAAGAGCATCCTGAACTCCACCAATGATGGAATCGGTGGAGTTCAGGACTCCCTTGACCAACAGAAAATACTGGAAGGGTTTGGTGGGCATTGACCTTGAGTTTTGGAGTTGTAGTTCACCTACATCCAGAGATCACTGTGGACCCAAACAATGGTGGGTCTGGACCAAACTTGTGGAGTTTGGGGAAAATAGACTTTGACCTTTGGGAGTTGTAGTTACTGGGATTTATAATTCACCTACAATCAAAGAGTATTCTGAACTCCACCAGTAATAGAATTGGGCCAAACTTGGCACACAGAACCCCCATGGCCAACAGAAAATACTGTGTTTTCTGATGGTCTTTGGCGACCCCCCTGACACCCCTTGTGATCCCCCCAGGGGTCCCGACCCCCAGGTTGAGAAACGCTGATCTAGAAGGTCCACCCTGTTATAAAGACAGATGGAGAAATAGGTATTGTTCTTATATTATACTCTAATTTAACTGACAGAATTGTGTGATTGACAACTCTGCCATTAATTCTCGGTCCATTGAGTAATACTAATTGAGGATATCTCTTCTTTTTTCTCCTTGCAGCCTGTCCCTCGTATTATGGTCCAGTCGGCCAGTGTTGATGCCAGCTCTGCAAAACTGAAGCAGGTGAGTGTGGGGGGAACTCCAACTCCAACGTGCTAAAAACTATCAATGCAGCTGTATGATTGGGAGGCATCTACAATACAGAGGTTGCCGTTATGGTCAGTCAAAGTTGTGCAGAAGTTATGATGGAATACATGGACTTCCTCAAGTGTAACCATTCCATATGGTCCTGAATCCTATGCCAACTAGAGCAGAGCTATTGAATTGGTTGGGTTGACCAAGCTCTTGGCTCAGCATTCCAACCTTTATCCATTGATGACTCTTTGTTGTTCATTCGTTCAGTCGTCTCCGACTCTTCGTGACCTCATGGACCAGCCCACGCCAGAGCTCCCTGTCGGCCGTCACCACCCCCAGCTCCTTCAAGGTCAGTCCAGTCACTTCAAGGATGCCATCCATCCATCTTGCCCTTGGTCGGCCCCTCTTCCTTTTACCTTCCACCTTCCCCAGCATAATTGTCTTCTCCAGGCTTTGCTGTCTCCTCATGATGTGGCCAAAGTACTTCAACTTTGTCTCTAGTATCCTTCCCTCCAATGAGCAGTTGGGCTTTATTTCCTGGAGGATGGACTGGTTGGATCTTCTCGCAGTCCAAGGCACTCTCAGCACTTTTGATGACTCTATTCTAGTTGGAATTAGCCAACATTGGGCGCATCTACACCAGACATGGTCAGACTTTGGCCCTCCAGGTGTTTTGGACTTCAACTTCCACAATTGTGGGAGTTGAAATCCAAAACACCTGGAGGGTCAAAATTTGCCCATGCCTGGTGTAGATGCACCCAATGTTGGTTAATTGTGGGAGTTGAAGTCCAAAACACCTTGAAGGCCAAAGTTGGCCCATGACTGAACTACACTGTAGAATGAATGCAATTTTGACACCACTTAAACTGCAATTGTTGGGATTTGTGGTTTGGTGAGCCACCAACACTCTTTGTTGGTGGCTCATGGATTGTTGGGATTTGTGGTTTGGTGAGCCACCAACACTCTTTGCCAGATAAGGCTACAGACCTCACGAAACTACAACTCCCAGGATTGAGGAAATTGTGAAATGTAAAGGAACCCAGTTTCCCAAAACAAATGATCTTTCTGAGTGGATCAGATGTTTGTCCCATTGATCTTGGAAGGTACTCTTATCTCTGGAATCCGTCGCCACTAATTTGGGAACGGTGTTTGGGGCGTGAGGCCGTGCGGCAAGACACTCGAGTAAGAAATGATGATTTATCTCCCCCCATGAATTAAGTGAAATTGCCAGGAAAGATGTATAGATCTTGCTTTCTTCCCCCTTTCACATAAATCGCCCTTTCCAAACAGCAAGTTGCCCATTCCCGTAATATAAATAATCTTTCGGTAAATAATGGCAGGCATATTTCTTGTGCTGTACACATCTATTTAATAATCTTACCAAGGCGACTGTGAGTAAATGGCTTCCAGCCAAACTACCTCCTCCTAACAAGACTCTTGTTAGTATTCAAATAAGTCATAAACTCACTGAGGTGTGTAACGTTGTTTGTACAATACACCTAGGTTTTCATTTATACGTTACTAGCCATCCCCTGCCATGTGTTGCTGTGGCTCAGTCTGTGTATATGTGTGTTTGCATATATATGTGTGGTTTTGTGCATGCATTGCAATGTATTTTTTTGGGTTTTTTGGCTTTTTAAGTCTCTTCTGTGTTTTTCAGTAATTTTATGAGTGATGGTCACTCGTAGGCCTGATACATGTATTGTGTCCAAATTTGGTGTCAATTTGTCCAGTGGTTTTTTAGTTATATTAATCCCACGAACGAATATTACATTTTAATTTATATAGACTAGCCATCCCCTGCCACATTTTGCCGTGGCCGTCTGTGTATATGTGTTTTGTGTGTGTATATATGTGTATAGGTGTGTATTTGTGTATATGTGTATATATGTGTGTTTGTGTATATATGTGGTTTTGCGCATGCAATGTAATGTATTTTTTGGCTTTTTAAGTCTCTTCTGTTGTGTTTTTCAGTATTTTTATGAATGATGGTCACTTGTTGGCCTTCTAGGTGTATTGGTATATTTCACTAGGCTCAGTCATCAGTGATAAACATGAGCCAGGGAGAAAATTAAGAGAAGTCTCCACAAAATAAATAAATAAAAATAAAATAAAACCTGAAAACAAAACAAAAGAAACAGAGTCTAAAGTTGAGCGTTGGCAGAGAAATCAGCGGCCCCAATCCAAGCCAAGCCTGGTTTCAGTACTAAGTTGATGGTCAAAGGGGTCTGGTTGGTAGATTCCCCAGTAGTGTAATTCTATACGATATTAGTGACTTTAAGTAACTTCGGGCTATGGCTAGTTAGTGGCAAGGTCACGACATGGTAACAGGAAATGGCGGTGATGGTAGAGTGGGTCTGCAGCACTAACCTGTCCAGGTCAATGCTGGGTAACAGAAATGGTGGAGGGAAGGCAAACTATCAAGCAAACTCTTAAGAATCTGAACTCTCATTGCTTTTTGTTATTGTTGTTCTGAAAGGCATGCTGATGAGTCTTAGTAGTTCTTATTTGAAACTGGGGGATGGAACTGTATGCTCTGTTTATGAGAAGGGGTGTTGTTTTTCTTCCCAGCTGCAGTTGTCTTCATCTTGCTTTGTTATGATCTTTCCATCCTGACCGCAAATCCGTTTCTCCTTTAGCTAACTCAAGGGGAAGGCAACAAAGAGCCCTTTGAGGTGGCCGCCCAGTCGACAGGCTTAGAGAAGACCCTCGAAAGGTCACCCAAAGTGCCTCCTCAGCCGTCCACGCCAGACATTCAAGCTCAAGACTCTCAAGAAGGGCCACCAAGTCCTTTGAGTGAAGCCTCCAGCGGCTACTTCTCTCACAGCGTTTCAACGGCGACTCTTTCGGAAGCGCTTACGTCAGGGATCGAGGTCCCGCTTCCAGCTGGGAGCCAGACATCCACCGCCATTGATGTGGCCCAGCCTTCAGTGACCACCCAAGCAACCTCTGTTGTTGAGACTCCCATAAAATCATACCCTGTTTCAGATTCCGAGTCAAACTCTTCTCTTGCGAGAGGTGATCTGGTTACCTCTGGCCTTAAACTTGACCATACAAGAACTAAGGACTGGGACAAAGTGGATAGTAGTGGCAACTTGAGGTCAAGATCCCTTGTCCCTCCCGCAGCTCCAAGTGAAGCTACTGAGACGGATACACACTGCTCTTCTTCCTCCCCTTCAAAGAAAGACATGCACACATCTCAACAACCCGGAAGTCCTCCCGTTGCCTCCCGATATGCAAAACCAGCACCTGCCTCTGAAACAAGGTCCTCCTCCAGGTCCCAGGTCCTTCCTGACCTTTCACCACAGTCCAACGTCATCGCCTCCCCATTCAAAATCCAAAGAGTAAAGACGTCTGAACTCAAGTCCTTCTCCAGCATGTTGGGAGGAGAACCGGGAGGGTTCTTGAGTTTGGAAGAGGAAAATATCCAGGAAGGCCAGGACAACGACATGGAAGCCAGTCTCGAGGAAAAAGCAGACGTGGCGTCTGACTCGGAAGAAGGCAACGAGATCCCTGACTGGTTGAAGGAGGGCGAGTATGTGACTGTCGGTACGAATAAAAGCGGGACCGTGAGATACGTTGGTCCAACGGACTTCCAAGAAGGAACCTGGGTGGGAGTCGAATTGGATTTGCCATCAGGTAATTTGGGGGAAAGGATTGCAGGGGGAGGAACGTTGAGGTGTTTGATGGGTTGTTTTGTATTACCCCAGCCCTCTTCATTGAGGCACCTGATGTGATTGATGATTGGAGGAGCCTCCATTTCTCTTGTTGTGATGTTGAATCCTTCATATGACTCTTGCTTAAACCAAAAACTACTCTTATTGTTTATTTTTAGAAAACAGCTCCACAAATTTTTGTCAGACAATTTACTGTGTCCCAGAACACATCCTTAGCATTTCTAGGTCCTCAAGCATGATTCTGTGGTCACCTTCTAGTGGAAGAATGTCATTGAATCATGTTGGATAATATTGAAAAATTTTAGAGGGAATACCTCTTCATCATTTTAGGTCCTCTAGTGTGACTCTTCAACTTCTGATGTAAGCCTACTATAGAATCATGTTGGAGGAGTTAGATATTTCCTAGAAAGAATGTCCTCAAATGGACTGGGAGGCAATTTATTTTGAAACAAATAATATTTTTATTGGGTTGTTGTAGGTTTTTCGGGCTGGATGGCTGTGCTGTCGCACGCTGGGCCTGTGCATAAGACTGTAGACAGGACATAAATTCTGTGTGCCCAACGGGACGCCGGGGCTGCCTCAGATTAAAGGCCTTTGGATTTCCTTAAAATAGAGTCTCTAGATTGCTTAAAAGTTCAACAAAGTTCTTTATTAATGAAAACAAACAGGTACTTTAAGGTTTTCTTAACAGTCTATAGGCTCATTCAATCTTGTCCACTGGGAACAGGCACTATCTTCATGACTAGTATTTTAACTAATGGGGAAATCCTTAACTTCTAATCTGGGCAGTCTGTCTTTGCCTCTGTTGGCGTGGAGCCCCTGCACCAACTGCGTCTGGCTTCCGCGAGTGACCCTTACCAAGCAGAGCTTTGTAGACTTCCAGGGGAAAAAGAATTCAGGTTTCCGTGATGGCTGGCTGAAGTCCCTCAGCAAAGGAGCTGTAAGGCTGTATGATCCTCAGCCAAGCTATGGGCTGTATAACCCCGGCCAAGTTGTAGAAGACGAAGCTTTCTACAGGAGCTCTTGGTATTATGTCCTGTGTGAAAGGCTTCTCTGTGTGGACTGAACTCAGAATGGCTCCTATTCCCTCTAAAACTCAAAAAGGGGGCAGGGAACCTAACTATAATTGACAGGTGGCTTGCCCTATGATTGCAGCCAAAAGAAGCCACCTATCTGCAGAGTCCCTGAAACTTGGGACTATAACAAACATTAAATGCAAAGCAAACAAAATTGGAGCTCCTGGTGCAGTTGTACCTGCACAATGGCCATCCAACCTCCACATTCTAGAACATGCTTCTTGAACATGGCCATACAGCCCGAAAAACCTACAACAACCCAGTGATTCCAGCCATGAAAGCCTGCGACAATACAATATTTTTATTTATTAATACTATGACTAACATTAGGACGAATTTCCTGATAGTAAGAGCTGTTTAACAGTGGAGCAGTGCATGGGAGTTGGTGGACTGCAGACCGGGTTTGGATAGATATATCTCTCAGGAGTCCTTGGGTCTTGTGGGTCCATTCCAATTGTGTAATTCTGTTCTTCTGTGAAATAGCCTTTTAAAGAAACAAAACCAAAAACACCCTCTTTCTTCTTCTCCTGAAGGTAAGAATGACGGTTCAATCGGAGGAAGGCACTACTTCAAGTGTAATCCGGGCTACGGGCTCCTGGTGAAGCCGAGTCGGGTCAAAAGAGCCACGGGGCCCCTCAGGCGCAGGAGTGCCGGGACGAAGCTCCAAGGAGGAGCCGTGCAAGAGCACCGGCGGAGTGGGACCTTCTCCGGCTCGGCCTCCAACCTGGCCTCCCTGACCGCTTTGGCCAAAACAGAAGTGGGGTCCACCCCGCGGCCAGAGAGGAACCCGAAGAACGCAGAGAACAGGAAATCATGGGCGAACTGAGAGGACGAGGTAGTAGGTCGCCCTCAAGACTACTTCACTGCGTGGATGCTTCTTTGGAGTGGCCTTATTTTGCACAACCGAGCCACCCTGGTGTGTGTTTCAGGGCGGGGGACGGACGCATTTGCAGAACAGAAACCCCCCCTCAGGCAGGTGGCAAGGTGTCTACGTTTCCGTGTTTCTACTCGGGTCACTTGTTAAGACTTTCCTTGCCATGAAGGAGTTGCCGGTCGAGACTCCTGATGCAAACGGTGACCCTTTGCTGTGTGTCCTTGTCTGTGTGTCTTCAGCCCCTTCCCCCCTCCCACGACCACAAGGTTGTGATTGTGCAATTCACACCACTCACAGCATCTGTCCTGCTCCTTCATGGGCTCCCGTTGACCATTTTCTTTCTCAAGAAAGGATGCCAAACATAACTTGCCGTCAAAGTGCTGTACTTTTTTAGGAATCTCAAAACCACTGACCCTTCTTCGAGCCGCAGAGAAGCGAAAGAAGACAATCACATGACCGGGCAGGTCACAACTTTCTCCGAAAGGCGCCTGGCTTGAATGTGGTTCTCTGGTCTTATAACTCCTCTGGTTGGTATCGCGGGAAGGTATTTATACCTGATGGTGCGGGGATGAGGTTTAGACACCTAATATTGCCTTCTTTCAACAAAATCCTTAATATTACGAGCATCCTTAATCGAAATTGAGAGTGGTGGATTAACAAGTAATCTGTGTTTTCTGTTTGAAAGAAAGGGAAAAAAGCATGAGCAGAAAGAGAGAAAGGGAAGAGGGCTTTCCTCTCCCCTTGAACCAGTAGTAGCATTTCAACAATGCTACTCCATATGTCAAGTTTGCTTCCGAATTATAGTGGACCAAGTTGGGTGCCAAGAAGGGTCTTTCCAGGGTTGTTGTAGGTTTTTCGGGTTGTATGGCCATGTTCTAGGACAGTAATTCTCAACCCCTTCCTAATGTTTGTTGTTGTTGTTCATTCGTTCAGTCGTCTCCGACTCTTCGTGACCTCATGGACCAGCCCACACCAGAGCTCCCTGTTGGCCGTCACCACCCCAGCTCCTTCAAGGTCAGTCCAGTCACTTCAAGGATGCCATCCATCCATCTTGTCCTTGGTCGGCCCCTCTTCCTTTTCCCTTCTGCAACCCCTTAATACAGTTCCTCATGTTGTGGTGACCCCAACTATAAAGTTATTTTCATTGCTACTTCATAACTGTAATTTTGCTACTGTTATGAATAGTAATGTAAATATCTGATATGCAGGATGTATTTTCATTCACTGGACCAAATTTGGCACAAATACCCAATACTCCCAAATTTGAATACTGGTGGAGTTGTGGGGGATTGATTTTGTCATTTGGGTGTTGTAGTTGCTGGGATTTATAGTTCACCTACACTCAAAGAGCATTCTGAACTCCACCAACGATGGAATTGAACCAAACTTGGCACACAGAATTCCCATGCCCAACGGAAAATACTAGAAGGATTTGGTGGGCATTGACTTTGAGTTTTGGAGTTGTAGTTCACTTACATCAGTGCTTCTCAACCTGGGGGTCCCCAAATGGTTTTGGCCATCAACTCCCAGAAATCCTAACAGCTGGTAAACTGGCTGGGATTTCTGGGAGTTGTAGGCCAAAAACATCTGGGGACCCCAGGTTGAGAAACACTGACTTACATCCAAAGGTCACTGTGGACTCAAACAATGATGGATCTGAACCAAATTTGGCACGAATACTCAATATGCCCAAATGTGAACACTGGTGGAGTTTGGGGAAAATAGACCTTGGCATTTGGGAGTTGTAGTTGCTGGGATGTATAGTTCACCTACAATCAAAGAGCATTCTGAACCCCACCAATGACAGGATTGGGCCAAACTTTCCACACAGAAACCCCATGACAACAGAAAATACTGTAGGTTCTCACTACCTCTGAGGATGCTTGCCATAGATGCAGGCGAAACGTCAGGAGAAATGCCTCTAGAACATGGCCCTATAGCCCGAAAAACCCCACAAGAACCTAGTGATTCCAGCCATGAAAGCCTTCAACAATACACAGAAAATACTGTGTTTTTTGATGGTCTTTGGCGACCCCTCTGACACCCTCTCGCAACCCCTACAGGGGTCCTGACCCCCAGGTTGAGAAACACTGTTCTAGAAGCTTCTGGAACATGAACATACAGCCCAAAAATGTACAACAACCCAGTGGTTCCAGCCATGAAAGCCTCTGACCAAACAAAGTAGGTTTTAGCCCATTCATAAAAAAACAGATGTTGGTTCCCCCCTCCCCTCCAGTGGTATAGTATTTATTTGTTATTTATTGCTGTTTTAAAATAATAATAATAATATTAAATTCTTTGCGACCTACAATCAAGTCATTGACTACCATGATGTAGAGGCATCCTAGGGCCCTGGTTGCCCTCTTCCCCTTCAGAGAGCCTCTTGCTGCTCCTTTGGACCCCTTTGCTTCAAACTATGGAAGAAACAGTAGAGTGAAAATACATTTACATTAACACTATCAAGATAAAGAAGTGGTAACCCTTATCCAAGGGTTGGGTATCCCTTATCCAAAATACTTGGAACCAGAAGTATTTGGGATTCATTCAGGATTTGATTTGTGATTCCATGATTCTAAGTTCAAGAGGTGTGCCTCTTTTTCTTCTCTGGTTTCTACTCTACTAAGGAGGACATCTACCCAGTGACCAAGCACCTTCCCTGCATGCTTGAGATCTCCATTAAGTCCACGTGTAGCTGGAAAAAGTCTTATAAACCTTGAAACTCAAATGGTCTGCATTAATCCATCAGGGATAAATTAATTTGTTGGGTAACTTCAAAAAGCATTTAGGAAGTACAGCAACAGCAGCAGTTTAGCAAACCAGAAGCTCCTTGAGCTTGGCAGTAGAGCAAATGAGCTTCAACAATACAGTCAAGCCTTAAAAGCTATGAACTTGTGCAGGATATGGTTGAGGGCAAACAGAACCAAGGGTTTGAACAATGGCCTTCCTGTGCTCTTGTGAAGAAAATACATTTTTTTAAAAATGAAACAAGTTACTTGGGTTTTTCATAGAGCAGTCCTCTGGAAGTCAAGGTGGGAAGGTAATTCGTGGCAGGTCTGCTGCCAGTTTCCGAGCTTTGCTACCCAGGAAGATAAACAGAGGCTGGATGGCCATCTGTCAGGGGTGATTTGAATGCAATATTCCTGCTTCTTGGCAGGGGGTTGGACTGGATGGCCCATGAGGTCTCTTCCAACTCTTTGATTCTATGATTCTATGATTTGGGGAACATGGCTCATGTTTTTCCAGGATGCATCTTCTCTTTGATACACTTTGTCTCTTCTCTGCTCCACCCTACTAGTTGTCTATCCTAAAAAGTTTAGGGCCTTCCACATTAGCAGATTTGACTTTTGCATATTTGATTATTCATGGATTCAATTATAATGTTCTCTATAGGAATCTCTAGGTTTGCTAGGGCAACACTATGGTCAACTTCTGCTAGACGTTGATGGTAGGGATATGTTGGAGAACTTAAGAGGTTTCTACAAAGAACACCTCTCTGTGTATTTCTAGGTTCTCCAATGTGATTTTGGTGGGTTGTTGTAGGTTTTTTCGGGCTATGTGGCAATGTTCTAGAGCAGTGGTTCTCAACCTGAGGTCCCCAGATGTTTTTGGCCTACAACTCCCAGAAATCCTAACAGCTGGTAAACTACCTGGGATTTCTGGGAGTTGTAGGCCAAAAACATCTGGGGAACCCAGGTTGAGAACCACTGTTCTAGAGCATGGCCATATAGCCCGATAAAACTTACAACAACCCAGTGATTCCAGCCAAGAAAGCCTTCAACAATACATTAATTTTGGTGGAGTTGTGCTGGAGAACCTAGATATTCCCAGAAATGTTCTCAGGTGAGAAAAAAAAAAGCATTTTTTGAAATCTGTGGTTTTTCATCTGTGGCCCTAACCCAAGCAAATGTGGAAAACTGATTATAGTGTGCATTTCATCTAAGATGTGTAGAGTAAGGGATAGGTCACCAGGCAGAGATTGCGGATGGGATTTTCCCGCGTTGACAAAAGGAACTGTTAATTTGTGTTAATCACAGTGACTCCCACGCAAGTTTTTGAAGTACGACAGCGTTGTGACAACGCGGTCTCTAGAAGGATCCCTTCTTCTTTACCATCGTTTTGTTTGACGTTTTAAATTATAGATCAAAAGCGTTCAACTGACAAGGCATCCTACTAAAATTCTCCATAAATTCCCTGACAGACTTCTGTTTATGGTAGTCAGAACTGTTGCCTCTTGGGGTTTTTTTTATTGCTGCTATTCACTAACACACTTCATTTGCCTCAAGGTTTCAATATAAGTTTGTAAACTTGTGTGTCTGGGCTGGGGAAAAGTTTTGCAAGATGTAGAGTTGGATTAATTTGACGAAGCCACAGTCCCTTCCTTGGTGCCTTACCTTTCCGTTCTAGAGCAGGTTGTCCATGTCGCAGGTGCTTCAAGCCACTTAACAGGGCAGTTTGCATCCTATGGATACACATTGATCAAAAATTGTTATTGAGGTCGATTTTTCTAAACTGCTATCAAAAACCTTCCTTTCAAGGCCGTGGAAAGAAATCATTCAAAAGGTTGAGTGACCAACTGAAAGCAGATGGTGTTTGGAAATTGATATGCACGTTGGTCCACAGCCAAGAGTAGATCTGTGTGACATAGTTATAGTGGTGTGATGTCTCTTCTTCACTGTCATGGCTCCATCCTGTGGAATCCTGAAAGCCCTATGAAGGGCCTACCATTCTCTTCCAGACAGGTCCAGTTCTGGACACCACAATTCAAGAAAGATATGAACTAGCTGGAACGTGTCCAGAGAAAAGTGACAATAGTCAAAGGTATGGAAGAGGAGAGGCTGAGAGAGCTGAGTATGTTTAGCTTGGAGGAGAGAAGGCTGAGAAAGGACATGAAGGTCATGTTTAGATATTTGCAAGGATATCACATTGGAGAATGGGACAATGGAGCAATGGGTTCAAACTGCAGGGAAAGAGGTTCCATTTCAATATTAGGAAGATCTCCTGATGGTAAGAGCTATTCAGCAGTAGCATACAAGTGGAATGTGGTTGAATCTCTTTCTCTGGAGGTTTTTAAGCAGAGGCTAGAGATATGGTAGAGATATGTTGGAGAACTTAAGAGGTTTCTACAAAGAACTCCTCTCTGTGTATCTCTAGGTTCTACAATGCAATGTCTTATTGGGAGGGTTAGGATTGTGACTAGGATGCGGAACAGTGGCTTCAAACTACAGGAAAGGAGATGCCACCTGAACTTGAGGAAGAACTTCCAAACTGTGAGAACTCTTCAGCAATGGAACTATCTGCCCTTGAGTGTGGTGGAGGCTCCTTCTTAGGAGGCTTTAAAGCAGAGCCTGGATGGCCATCTCTTGAGGGTGCTTTGAATGGGATTTTCCTGCTTCTTGGCAGAATTGGGTTGGACTTGATGGCCCAAAAGGTCTCTTCGAACTCTATGATTCTATGATTCTTCCTCCATGGCATGGAGTTGAATGGAAAGTCCTGGTAGTAGGTCTCTTCTAACTCTGTGTTTCTATCAGGATTCCATAGAATGGACCCATAGTAGTTGAAGTGGGATCAAAATGCTATCATTCATATATTGTAGAAACACTTCTAAGTTGAGAATCTGAGATTTTGGAAGCAAAAACATTGACCTCTTCATGGTTGGTCCAATAATGTGTTCTCCTTTTCTCCCCTTAGTTCTTTGGCTGTCATGTGTTACAGCAATTTGTGAGCTTAAGTTTTGAGCTGAATTCAAATCTATGATGCTTCCCGCATGGCATGGAGTTGAATGGAAGGTCTTGGTGGTAGTCTCTTCTGTGTTTCTATCAGGATTCCTTAGAATGGACCCATAGCAGTTGAAGTGGGATCAAAACGCTATCATTCATATATTGTAGAAACACTTCTAAGTTGAGAATCTGAGATTTTGCAAGCAAATACATTGACCTCTTCATGGTTGGTCCAATAATGTGTTCTCCATTTCTCCACTTAGTTCTTTGGCTGTCATGTGTTACG